TATACATATATATATATATATATACATATATATATATACTATTGTGTGTAAAACAAGAATCTAAAGGAAACAGTAACAATGTCGACTCAGGACAAGCCTGCCTATCATGCTGACGAAGCTAAAGTACAAACTCATGATAAAACAAATAATTTGCTGGGAAAGGCTTATGATACGGCCGCAGAAGCCAAGGACAAGACTGCCAAGACTGCTCAGGCAGCAAAGGATCATGTAGTAGAAGGGAAGGATAATGTTGGTAGCTATCTGCAGCATGCTGGAGATAAAATTAAGAGTGCTGCTCAGGGAACTACAGAAGCTGTTAAGAACATTTTGGGCCTTGGAGAGCAAAAATAAAAGGAACTAGGCATTAGCATTGAATTACGATTTAGTTATGTTTGCTTTTGATTGCATTTTATTATAATAATATGCTCTAGCTTCGGTAGTTGTCTATATGTATGTATGTATATATATATATATATATATATATATATATATATATAAAAAAAGAGTAACTCATGGCTCCTTAAGCATTAATACTCAAAAAAGGATACAAAATATGAGAGGGATAGTGGATCCCAAACCAAAAAAAAAAAAACATTATAAAACCTACGGGTTCCAAAATCCACAGTACAATGTAACGCAAAAAGTAAGCCAAAAAAAATGGCACATCAATTCCAAAATACAATTGACCCAAAAAAGATATGCTTCAAGTAGCGCCAACCAATCCTTTCCTGCGCCAAAGAATAAATTACACCATTTGGAAGACATTGCAATCTTAGAAAAGATGATGTCGGCACTATTTTTGGTGTGGGTTTTGCCCGACCAAAGATTAATAATAGGTAAAGCATAAATCCTAAAAGAAGAGTTAGCTTAGAGTTAGTACTTCCAGCAGCTATTGTAGAAATGACCAAAAAAATTACATCCAATAAGATTAGTGATAGGTCAAGCCAAAAAAAGGCAAAAGAGCCATATAAGGCCAATCGTGAAACCATATAGTGGAAGAAAAAGTAACCACTCTTCCAACAAAATAGCCATAACCAAATAAAGTAATGATGGTAAAAATGTAAAACATTGAAAGCATAACATAGGAAGCCATACAAATTGAAAACAAATAAGGAGAAATTTATACCATAAGGTGAACAATATAAATGCTATGCCTCCCAAAGCAAAAAAAAAACTATAGCAAACCAAAGCATTAGCATCTAAGATAAGGAGAGTCAAGCAGATCACCATTCAGAAGTATGGGAAGATGCGGCATGGGAAACGTGCCACAGCTAACGTTAATAGAATTTCTGGCCAAATGAGCTAACCAATTAGCCGAAGAATTACATTCGCTGTAAATGAAAGACAAATGAAAAAATAAATTGTATCTATTAATATAATCATGAATTCTATTCATATTGGCAAACAAATCTCATTAAGGCGTACTGGTATTGTAGAACTCATCAATAAACGTTTGAAAACACGTCTCAAAAATGATTTTAGTAAATTTATAATGAGCCCCAATCTATACAGCCAAGAGGAAGGCCCAACTTTCTGCCTTCAAAAAAGAGGCGGCACAAATCGGAGAGAAAAAATAATATAAAAACTATCAAAAATGATTTCGTAAGACGCCACCCACACCATCTGCATTGGAGATCAAACTGCCATCCATATTAAATTTAACCCAGTAAATAGGTGGGGGTTGCCATCTGAAGATGGCCATCCTACCCACTTTAGACTCATTCCCTTTTGAAGAAATCATCCGACGAAGATACGAAACGGCAGGCCCATTTGAAGTGAGCCGAGATATTATGGACAGTAATATAAGGAGTAGACAAATTGTTACCATACTTAGCCTCATTCCTCGCCACCCAGATGAACCAAAGAAACACAAGAGGATACCACAGTAGATTTTTATCCACAAAAAAAGGCAATTTGCTAAGTATAATGATAATCTTCAATAGAAGAACAAAACGACCATTTTAAATTGAAATGCTTACCCAACATATCCCAAATATCATCAGCAAAAGGATATAGAAAATATAGATGTGCAACTGTTTGGAGGTCCTTTTTACATAAACAAAATTGGGACACCATTTTCAAACCTTTAAGCTTCAAAATATCATCCAAAGGCAACAAAATTAGAAAAAATCTCTATAAGAAAAATGAGATAGAAGGAGAGATAAGCTCGTTCCAAATAACATTACTCCACCTCCAAGCACTATAGGGATAACAATTAGTATAGAGCATTTTGGTAATGGAAATAATAACAGTAGATTTCCATAAAGGAGAGTCCTTCATAGTATTTTTTGTGGGAAATTTAGCTATCTTAGCCGCCTCATAAGCTCCAAACAGATCATTTATTTTATTAACATCCCAATTACCATGATGCCAAATATCCAAAATAGTTAAATCATGTAGGGTACCTTGCGACAACGTGAGATTGTCACCCAAGCCCCGCTAATCATGCCAAATGGAGATATTGCCCACACCAACATCCCAAGAAAATAAAATTATGAGCCAAATTTCTCACTTTAAGAATGTCTTTCCAAATTCTCGAGTCACCGGCCTTCCATAGAACACAGTCAAATGATGATAAGAGCAATATTTATGATAAAGAAAATTAGCCCATAATGAATCATTGGAGCGAAATTTAAACCAGAGATTGCACATATTAATATTCGAGATTCGATTAATAATTTTAAGCCCTAACCGTCCACCAGAAATAGGCTTGCAAACTTTATGAAAAGAAGTCCAATGCTTATTAGAATAATTATCTGACCAAAGAAACCGATTGAAAAGTCTCTCAAGAGAAAGTTGAGTGCTCTTCTTGAGATTATGAATTTGTAAGGCATACAAAGGAATACTAAATAAAAAACTTTTAAGCAAGGTGAGGAGACCCCCATTAGAAAGAAAGATATTCCTCCAATCATCAATTTTATTTTTGATCTTTTCAACCACCTCATCTAATTTGGTTTGCTTCCTACGCCCCCTCAAAAGGTTGAACACAAGATACTTGAGAGAAAACGAGGCAGACAAAAAGACAAAAAAAGAAATAGCCTAAGAAGAAATTGAGCTTTTAACATCCTTCCCAAAGAAAAAATTAAAATTTTTTTTTAAAACCGTAACCCAAAAGTTTGTTGAAATTCCTCAATAAACCTCATCAAAACCTTGATGGTATATTTACTGGCGTATTGACCTCACTTTTGGTTGAAGTTTAGTTTTTACTCTTTCGTATCCTAGGCTCTAGCCATAGGACTTTCCTCTTGACTGTTCCTAGAAAACTAGAAAAGGAACCCTAAACATTAGAAATTCTAAACTCCCCTTTGCTCAACTTGAAGCGTGCATATTGGTCCTAACCTCTAGCACTTAGTCTATGGTGTCATTATGGAGGAGCTCAAGGAGAGTTCCCATAGGACTAATTGACCTTAGGGTTGGCCCTGGGTGCTGGTCTGGAGCTAAGGCACTCACTTTCTCACAATTATAAACCCAAAATTTCTTGACTTTGATCCCTTAATATTTTGGGAGACTCATGTAGATGGTCTCCTAGACCCACTGGCCCTAGGGTAGGGCTTAGCTAAGACTAGTACATAAAGGACCCAAATGGGGATTCCATTGGTCCATAGCTCATATATGGTGGTTGGTAGCCCATCCGTACCAAAATATTCAACTTGGCCTTCTGCCCCTAAAACCTCCCAAATTACTTCAATACCCTTGAATCCTCAAATTACCCAAAATACCCAAATTTATTCAAAAATCATTTTAAACCATTTTAAAATACCTAAATTGCCCAAAAAAACAAAAAAATGCCAAATTTACCAAAACACCCCCAAATTTACCAAAATTACAAAAATACCCTTGTCACCCTAAACTTTCCCAAAACCTCCAAAATCACTTCAAATTTCTCTAAAACCAATTTGAATCCTTCAATTGAACCCAACTTGGCCAATTTTACCATTTTGTCCAAAACCCCTAAATTGCCGTTAAGGGCCTAATTTCCCCAAATTTACCTCAAATGTCTATCAACTTGAGCCAAATTTTCTTCAATTTCAATTTTAAACTTAAACTCACCTTTCATATGACCAACATAAACCAAATCCAAGCTTAATTGGCTCATGCTTTGAGCTAATTTTGATCTAAATTCTCAAGTTTGATCTAAGTCAAACCCTCCATTTTGGCTCTATGACTTAATCTCACGAAATTGACCTACTCAAATTGCCCCAATTTGAATCTTAAACTCTTCATAACAATCCTACACTCCAAACTTGACCTTCAATTAGCCTTGGTAAAGCATCAATTTCATTTAATTTTTGCCCCAAATCATAAATTTCCCAAATTCCCCCCCCCCCCCCCACAGTCAAGGAAATTGGCTATGCCTCCATATTCCACCAAATTGATTGCCCTAACCCCAAAATTGACACCCAATTTATGTTGAAAACTCTTCATGATGTTCCCATTGACCATTCTCAATAATCAATTTGGACTTAACCTAAGCATAGCCCAGTCTAGAAGCAAGTCTAGCCCAACATACCCAAATTAACCAAAATTCCAAAATCCTTCAAATTGAACCCTCAATTGAATTCAAAATTATTTCAATCCTTCACTAAAAACCTTCATTACAATCATCTACACAATGTTGATCAATTAATTGGGCTTAAATTCATGGCTAGCCTAACCCAAACATAACCTTTTGTCATTTGGACCAACATTTGACCCATACACCAAAATTAGCCTACCCACCCTAAAGCCACAAAATTTATGATTTCACAGCCATTGAAAACACTCCATGGACTAGGATAAACCCCACTAGACTAGTCATGGAGAGCTATGGACAATTGGATCCCTAAATTAAAGGATTTATGCCCATTTATGGGCCTTAACCAAAAATCTCCCCCATCATCACTTGCCATTGAGGGTTAAACATAATTAACCCTCCTGCTAGCTCACCTGACCTCATAGCCACCTCCCCTGGCCCTGCTGACCAGCCTAGTCACCAGACCACCACAAAGCCAAGGGACACCAGCCCTAAATCAAACCCAATCTCAACCTTAGGGGCTAGCTCACCCAAATTAATCCTTAGAGCTTCTTAGCCCACCACCTCAGCAGGTTTTTACACCCAAAACCAAACTCTGAGCTCCCCTTTCATGTCATAGCTATAAAATGGCATCTTTAGAGCAAAAAATAGTGTGCAAAAATTTTCTAAAGGAGAGTCTGCCCAATTGCTCCCATAGACTCTTTTAAACCTCCTTAGTGCAAAGCAACCACCTCCTTGCCCTAATTCCTATCGTTGGAGCTCAATATTTATGTTTGATTCTAGCCAAAAATATGTCAAGTTTGGCCACACCTCCACAGTGCACCAATGCTTAATTAAA